TCTGGTTGAGTTGGGACGACGTATAGGTGCTTAACAGCCGTCAAAGGTTGCTAAGTGAACCTACCCTAAGCGGGTGATAGTTGTGTGAAGGTATAAGATCAAGGATGAGTTTGATGTGACTTCGAGCCAGTGTGAATAGCTGACGCTCTTCGACAGCCTTCCTTCTAACTGCAACACTTTTGAACGCTACCGGCTGTTAACTTGCATTCAAGATTTCAATAGTACATGTGATACACCTTCTGTCTAAGGAGAATTACAAATTTCTTTGCGCTATATGAAAGCGGTCAGGCAGGTATTATACAAATTTTAAATAGACTTCAGGGCCTTTAGAACCTCATAATTTAAAACCGAAGAATCCTACATTCTGGAGTAGAATTTTTGAAGTAGACGTAATTGGGCATTAAAGAACCACAAGGAATAATATCCTCATAAATGTTCTATACACAAGATGATTTTATATATAAGGACAGTGAAAATCAATGAAAAAAGCATACAATTTAAGCTGCTAATTTATAAAGGGCATGTTTTTTGCAGACTATGAGAGAGAAATTCGCTCAAAAGTCGGTAATCTGACGAGACCGGACAAATGTAATATTAGGTTGCACGATAATCAGCATTATAATCCTACTTAAGTTTTTTTTTTAAAACCACAACACATTTAGAAACTTCATTTGACATTGCATGAGACAGGAAATCTACTCTATGCTACAACGCACAGTGCACGTTCAATTATTTTGAGCTAGCTTTTGGTGGTAAAAGAAACGAGTGCGTACCATTTCGTCACTCAGATGATACTTCCGCGGATTCCATCGAAACCAAAATCGGGGGGATTCATCGGCCGCACGCCAGCGTTCGTAGAGATCAAACACGTATTCGTGGTCTTCAATCGCTCGCTCTGTAGGAAAGAAACCGATTGGCTTGTTTAATGTGCAATAATAACCACAAACTGATACCCTTATAAAGCGAGTGTGAACCATTATTCATAATGGTCCCTTTTCACATTTAAGCAGTTAATCGTTTAAAACATATTAAAGTGTGTGTATATGTGTGTATTACTCAAAGGAATTTAGTGGAAAACACTATCGGCAGGAACGGCATCGTATCGCGCAGACTCTCTGTATTTACCGGAGACTCCCATCGAACACTTTTCGTCAACACATTATGGTCGAGACATCTGTGTAGTAATCAAATCTGCGCATATGGAAACAATTGAGGAAGGGAAAAGTTTACACAACAGGGTTGTTTCCGACTCGGTGTCTGCACAAGTGTGTCAACAGCCATGTGTTGACAAAGTGTGCGTGTGCTGAGAGGCTGTCCTGCAAATGAATAAAATTGAAATCAGTTTTTTAATTTCCTTAGAAGGTAATTGCTGTTCATGATATACATCGATATATTTAAGGTCTAGAGGTACAGTCCAAAATGTGAAGTGTATATTTGGGCTGAAACACGTCAATTACTGCGTAATCTGCACATGCTGCCAACGGACATACTACAGTAATATATACTGATGTTGTAACTTACCATACTAACAGCCCGGTCACTAGCTAGAAGCCCAGAGGCATGTTTCGTCTGTATTCTACCGCTGCTTGAGACAGCTGTGAGGGGTCCGGCTCACCCGTGGGTCCACCAGCTTTCCCGGTTTGCTTTCTGGTTGATATACTGATTTTGAAAGTTCAGCTTTTCAATTTCCTTAAAAATTAATTTCTATTCGCTGTATACGACCGTATACAGGGAGAGCTGGGGGACTCACGGATGAGCGGCAGAATATCGGCGAAACATGTGTCTGGGTTTGTAGCTAGTACCTGGGCTGTAAGTACGATAAGTTATAACATCAATATACACTACTACAGTCTGCCCGTTGGCGGCATGTACATACTACAGAGTGGTTGACGGGTTTCAGCAGAAATATACACTAAAAGTTTCGGTCAATGCCTAAAGATCTTAAATATACTGATATATACCAAACACGCAAATTAATTTCTAAGGGGATTAAAAAGCTGAACCTTCAAAACCGGTATATCAACCAGAAAACAAACAAGGAAAACTGGGGGACTCATTGATGTGCTTGACCCCTCGCAGATATGTCAAGTCGCGGTAGAATACCGGCGAAATATGGGTCTGGGCCTTCTAGCTAGTACCCAGGCTGTTAGTATGATAAGTTAAAACATCAATAAAATTGAGATACCGGATCAAACGCGCACACATTCTGCACAAAATACTATAAATTACGTTTCCTCTCTATTAAAATCTGTGGTTACTAAACAGAATCCGAAGTTTGAAATTTTGTTTTTTTTCTGAAAGTATTCAAAAGTAAAATTGCTCACAAATTATTAAAAGTATACGGGTTATACGCATGCTTTCGATAAGTTCCCCTTGGACCACTACAGTAATACGGGTAAGTGGTACAGTAGATTGCCTAACCCATGAAGTTTGAAGATTGCACTTTGAGGTGCTGGTTGAACACGTGCTATTAAAACATACATATAAGGCAGAAGAGTTTTAACTATATCTTTTCAGAGAACGAAAAATGTCAGTCTTCACGAAAATCAGTTTACGAAATGCCTTACTTCTGTGACGTTCCAATCGACACAATCAAGTTAAATCCTGCTTAGCTTAGTCCAACGCATCTCAAAGAATACAAGGAAAGGACTGTAAATTTTTGTGAACTCATCTTCGAATATAAACTGGTACTTTGGGCTGTTCGGTAACAGTCTTACCTTTTATTGCATGTCATATGGAAGCATATCTAACCGAGACCTTCACCAAAGGATTATTTTCAAACGCCATTCTATTTGTGCTGCCTTATTCGTTTTTGCATGAACAGACATTCGCCACATTTAAAACTTAAGTTTACTTGGAAACCGCGTCTTTTCAGCTTTTCGGAATTTTCCACTTTTTCTAAAAAAACAGTTTTACTAAACAACTTAATACTACTTGATAAATGAGAAGTAGAAGAAAACTCGATCGCTGGGACACTATGTTTATTTGCCTGAC